TAAGCAGTAAATACCTTCTCTATGAAACAAAAAAAAAAAAAATGGTTTCATAACAAATTTGGAAGTCTTGTGCATTATATTTCTCTGGTAGAATAATTTTTCCTAAAAATTAAAAAACAAGCAAACAATTTTTAACATCCTGCTCTTACACATTAAGCTTCCAAGGAAATTAATGAAAGAAAAAAGGGGGAGAACCCCATACACATATACACATATACACATATTAACACATAAAGGAATGTTTCTCAGCCAGCTGAAAAGTACACTGTGAAGGCGAGGTCGTGTTGAACTTTTTTTTAGCAAGGGCACAGCTGATCAAACCACAGAGCATTCACCAACCCCATCCTCCAGCCTCCTTGGTGTTCCCTTGGCTTCCAGCCACTGGACTCATTTCCACCCACCATTTGCAGGATACCTCCCTACAGCCATATGGACCAAGATGATGAGTCATCTGTCATCCAGAATATTCCTCTTGACCTTTCCACACTCAATCAACTTTCGCACACTCAACAGGCACGTCGTCTGCGGAGCACGTGCCCTGCACCTAAGGAGTTTAAGGCTGAACATGGAACTGTGCATTCCTGCCACTCCTCACTTTGCCAGATGGATTTATTCCAGAGCTTTAAAGGAAAATCAAAGCTTAAAAAGTGACCAGATGGGTGTTCAAGGAGAAACACATACAAACTCAGTTAGGAGACTGACGTACTTTATTAAAAACAGGCCTACAATGTAAAAGAACTTCGGTTATTTACCCCAAGAGGAAAAGTTATGGCAAAAGCAAAGCATTGAAAAGATACATAAAACAATCCATAACTGAAACTGACTTTTCAACTTTGCATAGTTAAATGTTGTTTTCAAAACTACTTTTGAAGTTAATTCTTTACACAGTCACCAAGAAAAAGAATAAAGACCTGCACATCGTGTAAAACAAATAATTGAAACTCATACTTACATAGCACTTACAACATGCAAGCATTCTTTTAAGCACTTTGCACACAGTCACTCACTGGATCCCTACAAGCCCTTTTCTGATCCTTGTTTCCCATCAGGGACAGGATGCACAGAGGTATGGTGTCTGGCCCAAGGTCACACACACTGCCTGTAAGTGGCAGAGCAGAGATTCAAAGCGGGCAGTCTGGCAGTACCTGGGGTTAGTTACTATTATACCAACCACCTTCCCCAAAATGTGTAACATAGATGATCACTTTTTAAAACAGATTGTTAAATTTACTTTAAGAAGCTCGCTTTATAAGTTGAGAAGCTTTACAATGAAAGAATTTAAACCCTGGCTGGCGGAGCTCAGTGGATTGAGCGCGGCTGCGAACCAAAGTATCACAGGTTCAATTCCCAGTCAGGGTACATGCCTGGGTTGCAGGCCATGACCCCCGGCAACCGCACATTGAAGTTTCTCTCTCTCTATCTCTATCTCCCTCCCTTCCCTCTCTAAAAATAAATAAATAAAATCTTTTCTTTAAAAAAAAAAAGAAAGAATTTAAGCCCTGGCTGGCATAGCTCAGTGGATTGAGCGCGGGCTGGGAACCAAAGTGTCCCAGGTTCAATTCCCAGCCAGGGTACATGCCTGGGTTGCAGGCCATAACCCCCAGCAACCGCACATTGATGTTTCTCTCTCTCTCTCTCTATTCCCTCCCTTCCCTCTCTAAAAATAAATAAATAAAATCTTAAAAAAAAAAGAAAAAAGAAAGAATTTAAACTCGGGAAATTACTGTTAGGTGGTAGCAAAGCCAAAATTCATCAGCCATGGCAAACACCTACCCAAGAAGTATCAAAGGGCTAACTTTTGAGAGTGAAATGTGTAAAGTCTGGAGAAATCAGCCTGGCTGAACAACTGTAGGGAAGGTGATAATAGCTAAGAAACTCAAAAGGCTTGGAAGACAGTAAAAGAAAACCCAGGACTGTGATACCTACCATCAGTCACAATACTGTCCATTCTTCCTGCTCCATCTGTTCTTTCCCAGATGGTGTCTCCTTTCCATCATACTGCCGTTGTTTAAATTCAGACTTTCAGCTACTCTATCAATCTCTTATTTGGCTTCTAGTCACCACCCAGCACCTACTCTCCCCTCTGCTGCTAAGCAGAGAGTCTTTCTGAGACACAAACCCGAGCATGTCATGCCCCTACTTAACAAGTCTTCAGTGGTCCTAATAGCCAACAATTTCCAGCTCCACCATCTCTGTGTGGTATCAAATACCATTCCCCCCAGGATTTCTCTTGCTGCCTCCTGCCTATAAGCCCAGCAAATACTAGGCTGTCATTCCTCTCTTACCCAGTTCACACTGCCCCTCAACTAAAAAAAAAATCTACCTTCCCAACCCTTATTCATCACCCTACAGAACATCTCTTATTTACCTCATTTCCAAAAGTTGTTCCAATCCTTCCTATCACCAACACACCACAATTTTCTCCTTTAGGTCCTCAGGGTACCACATATATATACTCCCATTATACTTCAGTGATTAATTTTTTACATACCTGACTCCCCTAGTAAAATATAAGCCCTCAAAGAATAGTGACAATGTCCTTTTTTTTATCCTCACCTGAGGATATGTTTTTATTGATTTGAAAGAGATAGAGAGACAGAAAAGCATCAAAGTGAGAAACTTCAATTTGTTGCCTCCTACACATACTTTGACTAGGGGTCGAAACCACAACATTTTGGTGCATAGGATTACACTCCAACCAACTGAGCCATCTGCCCAGTGTGGCAATGTCTTACCATTTTATCAGCAGCACTTAATAGTTTCTGACACACAGAAGATGCTTTATTCATTATTGCCAAATGAATAAACACATGCCTTCCACAAGCCATTACAGCCTTACTTTTAACAAGTTTTCAGTTCAGTCCATTAGTTCCCTCCAGCCCTATGAGAATGTAGTTCCATTTTTAAAAAATGGGAGTTATTCTAGTAAGATATGATCTACTTTATAGTCAACTTTTGAGAACATTTACACAGTGGGTAACACGTTAAATAATAGTTCACAAAGAATGCTCCACAGAACAAATCCTGGAGGCTCAGAAAATACCTCATGATATCTCCTTCAGTGAAGTATTAAATCACATTATCATATTAAATGTTTGACAAAATCCTGACGTCAAGGAGGAAACTGATTAACTTCAGCACTTACTAACTTTGGGCAGGTAACTGAACCGCACTTTGTCTCAGTTTTCTCATCTATTAACTGTGGGTAATGGTACCCACCTCATACGGTTATTATAGGGGTTGAATGAGATAATATCAAGTGTTCAGAATGATTCTGGACACACAGTATGTTTTTGTAATTTTTAATGTTTAAGCTGACATTTTTCTAAACATATTTGAACACAAAGTCTGTTTTGTGATCTAGCAACTATAAATGTTGTGCACTACACACTTTGAGAAACACTGATACAGAATAAATACTCCACCATGTTAGTCATTCTGGAGATTCACGACTCCAGACTTCAGCACAAATACAGGCAATCTGATAGTTTAAATGTAGGACAATTCCTCCGGTTTCTCTGTGGCTGGCAAACATCAAGGTTTCAACTGTCACAGCTTCCCGAGACTTCAGTTTCACCAAATTAAGATGGAAATGAGTGCTCTGTGTGAACTAAAGAAAAACTGCTCAGCACTGGGAAGAAGTCTATTGCGCTGTCTCACTGTCACACTTTTTGTTCATAGAAACCAGTATGTCCATCAAGCTCCTACTTTCTTTGCACTAAGGAATCTTGCTGCTTAGTAACACAAAGAATCTACCCAGTCTGTCTTTTTCCTTTGGTCAGTCAAAAGATTTATACCAGGCAAACTTAAAGTAGAAGATTCTGAATTCCAGCTTGCTGAACTACAAAATTGTGCAGTATTTTGTGTGTGAGCCTCTGTATGCACTTTCTTGGGTGAAATATCATAACTGTCATCAAGAGATCCATAATGCCTAAAAAGGTTAGGAACCACTGGGTTTTTTAATCAGGTCCTTCCTTGTACTGTTTAAATACATATTAAAACTCAAACAGTATCAAAGGGTATATATGGCCAAAGGTAAGTCTCTCTCCCAACCCTAATCTTGACCCAGAGTTGAACACTGTTATCTGTTTTTTATATCCTTCCAGGGATAGCTTATGCATGTGTTTATAAGTATATATAGTAATGTTAGACCACAGGTAGCAAACACAAGACCCGCGGACCTAATCCAGCCTTCCACCTTGTTTTATTCGGCCCAGCACCTTGTTTCTACCCAGCAGCAGCACTGAGCTCTCACTTAACTGTTAAGGAGTAGTTACATTTATACAGTCCTAAAATTACATTCGGCCCTTTGAAGGCAACCATTAGGCTGATGTGGCCCCTGGTGAAAATGAGTTTGACACCCCTGTATTATGCCAGTCCTCCACTTTTCACATAAATAATAATGCATGATTAAACACACTAAATACAACTAGCTTTGTTCAATTGGCAGTTTATCTTGAGGTCTATCCCTGTTAACACATAGGTACAGATTATTTGGTTAATGAACATACCAAAATTGAAAGCATCCCTGTGATAGATACTTAGGTTGTTACCAATGTCTTGCTTTTTATAAAATAATGCTGAAAATTAACATTCTTGAAGCTATATCTTTAGGCAAGAAATCCAGCACAGAATTGCTGAAAAGTATGAAGCCTTCTAAGCTGCCCTCCAAGGGTTGCCCATTTTATACTCTCAAAAAGTACTTATTTCCTGCATACTCAATAAAAGATTTTCTGTCTTTGTTAATCTGACAGGTGAAAATGATAACTCGTGGTTTTAATTTGTGTGTCCTATTGAATGAAAGAACCTCTGATTTCAGATGTGACACTTACGACAACTTAGTCATGGAAACAAAAGGCATCATCAAAACTGGAGCAATAATAGAATTCAATAAAGGACAAACTCTTCACAGAAATCCAGCTGAGCCCTGGCTGGTGTGGCTCAGTGGACTGAGTGACAACATGTGAAATAAATCCAGCTTATCCACACATTGAACTCACCATCTAGTAGCCAGTGCTGATCACGCCTGTTCTCCAACTCCGACATCATCAGGCGTGTGATCACGTGATCTGGAACCAAAAGACCTTTCTCTATGTACTGCTTTGCCATACCACCAACTCCTATTAAAAAGACAGGAAAAAAGAGACACTCAAAAAAAGCTTCAAAAAGCTAAAAAAAAAAAAAGACACTCAACAAATATAAAGCTTATAAACTCTTTTTTTTTTGACAGTTTTCCCTTCTCTCCCATTTTTCCCTGTTGGTATGGGGGAAAGTTATAGACAGATGTTTTTTGAGTAATGTTTTAAATATTGGCTTCAATAATGGCACTGTCTCCCTATTGTCTCCCAAAGAATTATAAAAGCAGCTTGTGAAGATATACACAGGCAGAAATAAAAGAAAATATGAATTAGACATAAAGCGAAAATAAGAGTAGGAAACAAACTTGAAGTCCAGAGGGAAGATGGCATATAAAAGGCCAGGAAGGAAATCCTGGAGACTTCCTAAAGGTGAACCACAAGTGGGTACTGAGCCTCCCAACAGTTTATGATAACAAGGAAATGTGGTCACCTACATGGCTCATGGTATAAAGAAAACTAAAGGAGGCTGAGAAGCACAACCATCCTTAGAGACCAAGGGAATAAAAATTTCCACTGTTCTGCTAGAAAGAATGCTGGATAATATAAACAACAGGTTTATTTCCTCTCTTGAGCCTCAGTGTAAGCCAATGGCATCTGGCTGACATAACTGTAAAGCAAACTCAGTGTTACCAGTAGACTGCCAAGTTCATAAAAGGGGGAGAGTTTTTTTTTAAAGATTTTACTTACTTATTTTTAAAGAGAGGGGAAGGGAAGGAGAAAAGAGAGGGAGAGAAACATCAGTGCGTGGTTGCCTCTTGAGTACCCCTTAATAGGGACCTGGCCCTCAACCCAGGCCTGACTGAGGATCGAACCTGTGATCCTTTGGTTTGCAGGCCAGCACTCAATCTACTGAGCCACATCAGCTGGGGCTGGGATGATAAATTTTTTAAAAAATTATTTTCAGAGACAAAAATGCTTGTATTTTAACTTAAAATAATAATTACTTATTTATGGAAATTGTAAGTTGGGTCCAGCAGAACAAATTATTAGTTTAAATTGCTTAAATTTCTAGAAACTGATTTTTTTTAAAACCCAGATGAAGTCCTCTGCTCTCCAGGGAATTGATAGTGAACCAGGAAGAACCACATTCTCAACAAGCCATTTAAGCTCTTATAAAAACATAAAGCAGAATTATATTATTGGGGGGAGCTCAAGAATCATTTTGCCCCCACCTTCACCTTGAATTTAAGGCTGAGCCTTTCCTTCCCAAGACTGAGTCTACACTAATTCCACCTTCAACAGAAATATAAGTTGTGAAGAGCTCTGGATCACTGGATCACTACTACTGGACAAAGGTAGCTCAAAGTTAGGCCCCGTGGCGTGGATTCAGTAACTCGCTGAAAGGAGCAGGACACAAAAGACAACCACATTACTGGATGTGGCTGAACAAGAATGTGAACAAAACACATTCATTCAACAAGTACTCATAGACTGCATGCTGTGTGACTGGTGATATTCTACAAATGTAGCAGTGAAGAGAAGCTGCTTATTGATATTTAGAAGCAGTGTTACTTTCCTTAAGAGCAACTGTAACAGTCATTAACTGAGCATATATTTCTGCCCTAGGCACTGTGCTTTAAGCATTGAATGTGTCATTTCATTTAATCCTCATAAATCCTCACCTTCACACAGGAGGTAACAGCCATTTTTTGTGACAGCTTTATTGAGATACAACACACATTACATTCACCATTTTAAAATGTACAACTCAGTAGCTTTTAATACATTCTCCATGCTGTGCAATCATCACCACTACCTAGTTCCAGAACATTTTTATCACCCTGGAAAGAAACCCCACACCAATTAGCAGTCCCTTCCCATTTCCTCCTCCCTCTAGCCTGTGGCACTACTACCCTACATTCTGTCCTTACAGATTGGCCTATCCTGCACACCTTGTCTGAACAGAATTGCACAGTATGTGGTATTTTGTGTCTGGTTTCTTTCACTTAGCAGACTGATTTCAAGGTTCATTCGTGTTGTGCAATATATCTGTATGTCATTCATTTTTATGGCTGAATATTACTATTCCATTATATAGATATATCATATTTTGTTTAGCCATTTGATGGACACTTGGGCTGTTTCCACTTTGGGCTTATATATGCTTTCAGCTCTCTTGGGTAATACCTGTAGGGTATGTATGTATGTTTTACATCTGAAAGATCATTGTCACATAGTGTGTTTGGAGTAACAGGCTTGGGGCTGTCCTACTCAGCAATGGTCAGACCAACCAGCCCCATGCCCTGTTCTATTCCTATCCACGACACTTTACACATCAACAAACACACATCTTCCAATGTGAGAGACCAAGATGTGAAATGGCTCCAAACATCCCACAAGGAAACAGTAAAAGAGGAGGGAATACCTTCTCTGGAAAAGAGAAGACCCAGAGAAGGACACGATAACAATGTGCCCGTGCCCTGATGCTTCACACATGGGGAAGGCATTGTTTACTCAATCCCCATGCTTTGGAATTATGACCAGTAGTGGGAATCACATGTGGACAGATAAAGCTGCCTGAGGAAATGTCTGAATGGAGACCCAGAGACTGTCTAGGAAGGAATTCTGCAGAGGGATTCTGACAACTGGACTCGGGATTGGGCAACATACTCTTCCAACTATTTTTGGCAGCCTTGGCTCTTCTCTGGAGGACAGACATGTCATCATTCTGATACAAAATCAAACTTCCACATCTCTCAATCCCACCATGAAAACCTGGAAAGATCAACAGCCAGAGCAAAGTGGACTTAACAACATGAATCTGAATGAAAGTGTTGCTACAAGAACAAACAAAAATAAAAAATGGATGAGAAGTTAGAGGCCCATTCCGGAAACATGACCTTCATCGGCCCATGTTAGCTTGCTTGGAAGAAAAACAGTATCATTAAGTGCTAATGCTAACATGTTTGGATAAAACACACAGCTGCTCCAATTTCTCAAGTAGAATTCCAAAGAAAGGCTGCAGACAAACACGTCTTTTAGTTCGGATTGCCTATAAAAGTGCCTATAAATTGAGGGCAAACTGCAGACAGACAACAGAGCTGGAAAAGTGTCCACGAAGCAACAAATTCCCCAAGATGCCAGCCAAATCACCAGAAACAGATAACAAACTCAGTGTTCTTTTCATTGTGCATGCCAGAAAACACTGAGACTGAAATCCCCCAGTAAAAGAGCTTGATTTCCTCACAAGGCCGCCCAGAACTAGGAGAAACCATGGTCACTCTCAGGACCGTCTCTTCTTCAAAAGGTCATTGAAAATGCCAAAGCACACACTCGCACCACACGAGTCCTGGTCAAAAGGAAGTGTAGCTCTGTGACTCTGCCAACTACATTTTTTTTTATCCCCACTCCTGAGAATATTTGGGCACTGAAATAGTTACTTTTAAAAAATTAATAAAACAAAGAAAAACAATCTATAAACTGTTTATCCTTGCTATCACTTTGATGAATCTCTTCTAGTTTAAAAAAAAAAGACTTTTTAAAAAATCTTGGTTAAGAAACAGATACCAAGGACCTTTAGAGGTGAAACTTACAGAAGCAGCTCCTAAATTTAGGGCATTTTGGCACTTAACTCAGTGATTCATTTCAGATGTGCAGGGTCCACCCTTCAATTGGCCTTGCTCAAAGCTGGGCTTTCTTTTGCCTTCACACCAAAAAGACACGGTTTTAAAGCTCTCCGTGACACTTGCTATCCATAGGTATGAAGAAAATTCTGAAGCTGGTGTGATGATCAAGAGCATAGGCTTTGCAGCCATACATTCTGGCTTAACATCCTGACACTGCCAGTTAAAGGCTTTTAAGAGTTTGGCCACATTGTGTGTTTTTGCCTCAGTTGCTTCATCTGTAAATTGGGAACAATACCACCTAGCATTGTTTTGAAAGTTGTATGTGGTTAATGTGTGTAAAGGACTTGGAATGATGCCTCTTTACAAATTTCATTCAAGGATATGGAGACATTAAGTATTTGCTCCTATATGCCAGGTGTTCTAAGTAGTTTAAACACATGAACCCATTTAATCCTCACAAATATATACAAGGTCAATGATATTATTTCCCCCATTTTATAAATACGGCAACTGAAGCACAGAGAGGTTAAGTAACTTGCCCAAAGTAATTCAGCTAAACAAGTGCTGTAGCCAGAACTCGAACTCAGGCATGCAGGCATCAAAGTTCATTTTCTTAACCACTAGTCACACTATACCATCTCTCAATGTTTGTAAGCATTTCCTTAAACAGAAGCACTCTGAATGTTAGAGTACATTTTTAATTTTGCGATTTATAAGAAATATATATAGGGTCCAAAGTGGGGATCAGAGCTCCCCAAACCCTTGGAATTTGCTGAGTGGTAAGAGCAATGAAAGCATCTTTCATTATAATATTTGAAATCCCCTGAAAATGTTCCAGAGCCCTAAAAGTAAAACGGGTATTTTGCTTGAATAATCCCCTTTCCCCATCTAGATTTGCATTAATGAGATGACTGTTGGAAAACAGATCTAAGGGTAGGCACTGGTTGCCAGAGGAACCAACCATGAATAGAGGGATATGCTTTCACTCCCACCTCCTGATTTCCTGGAAGGGGAGAAGGGCCGAAAGTTGAATCAATCACCAATGGCCAATGAGTGAATCAATCATGTCTATGTGCTGTGGCCTTCATAGAAACCTAAAAAGTGGGGGTTAGGAGAGCTTCCAGGCTGAGAACTACAGTACTTCAATGTGTCAAACCCCAAACTCCATGAGGACAGAAGCTCCTTTGTTCCAGACCTCTCTCTCTGTATCTCTTCATCTCGCCATTGATTTGTATCCTTTAATATCCCTTGTAGTAAATCAGTAATCTAGTAAGTAAATGGGTTTCCTGAAATCTGTGAGCTGCTCTAGAAACAGAACCCAGGGAAGAAGTTGTGGACACCTCTGATTTATAGTCAGTAGGTTAGAAAGCACAGGTGGGCTGCCAACTGGCGTCTGAACTAGAGGGTGATCTTGCA